AGATGTGGCCGAGCTATCTTAAGTGGCGCAGTAAAACCAGCTTGTTAAAGGGAAAACGCGCATTCCATAAGACATGACGTCTGACATCACCGTTGCAGATAGGCTGTTGTCACCACACACGAGCATTTCTCCTCAAGTATCCATTATTGAAAACCGAGAACCGGCGCATGTCATCCACGCTTTGGGAAAAGAGAGCATCGAAGATTCCATTCCGGTTAACCACGCGCAGAACGCAGGCGCCGACTTCATCTGACCTCAAATTAATGGACTGTCTGCTATGAGTAATTCTGGAGACACTTGGAAAGCATCATCCAGCGTAACTCAATGAATTACGGGGACAGGCAAGTGATCGCATCAAGCTATAAATAAAAAATGTGTCAGCCATGCGACTATCACGTCGCGTGCGGACTGAGTATACCACGAAGACGTCCACCCCTACGCGGATTCGAACCGGTGAACATATAATTGCAAGATAGGCGTGCAGATCACTCGGCCACCAGCCGAGCCTACGTTGATGACAAAAACACCATCCACCCGGTGAGCTCAAGTGGCCTACCGGACGTGTATTAGAAAAAGCATGAGCAAAGTGGGGGCGTTTGTCTACAGAGAGCGCTTAAAAACACGACGGATTCTAACGAACAAGCAAAGTTGAAGGTACGGTGTTGGAGCCGTGTTGACCAGAAGCGCTCATAATCAAATATTCACTGTTGATCCTTCATTCAACCGTCACAACTAGACATGAAGGACGATAAGTGAATCCATTGAGCCCTAAAGTATCAGCAGTTGGCCAGCACACAGTACCGACGCTACACTGCCAAGCTAACACCACTTGTCGCGTGAGGACTGGGTATCTCGCGAGGTCGCCCGCACCTATGCGTATTCGAACCGGCGACCTCAGGATTACAACGCAGGTGTGCAATACATTCGGCTAACGACCGATCTATTGCACACAGATAGGTCGACTCCTAGTCATGTCAACCAAAGCTGTTCATCGTTCTTGGGTTCCCAGACCTTATTAGCAGCAGGGAAATCCCCATGTGGTAAGTCTAATCGCCAACATGGATATTGGGTCTCTTCGCAGTCTCTGAAACGTACCGATACTCGCCGGCATTTTCCGGCTGGAAGCGAACACAATGAAATTCGCAAAGAGCTACGGGCAAAACTCCGTGCTAGCCTGAAGACAGAATGCGAATCCTGGTGGTCTCATCGTGCTTCAGAGATGGAAATGGTCACTGCCCTTGGTAACCATCGTAAGTTACTCCGGCTGATACGAGAAACGGGCAGCAAGAGATCTGGTGCTAGTGAAACTATACGTGACGAGAGTGGACAGCCTAACCAAAACTTGTCTAGACGGTTGGAGCGTTGGGATGAGCACTTTGGAAGGCAGTTTAATCGGTCGGAATTGTTAGATTTCTCGCCGGCCACTGATGGCCCCGGTCCCTCGGCTGTCCCTTTGGATCGACCCTCGCACTCAGAAGTCGGACGTGAGATCGCACTGTTGAAGTTAGATAAAGCGACGGGACCAGAAGATCCACCTCCAGCCCTCCTCAAATTCGAGGGACCTGCTTTTGTGGGTAATTTGTACGAGTTACTAGTGAAACTGTGGGAACAGGAAACTGTCCAGACAGACTGGAGCCACTCTGTTATAGTCCCAATTTTCAAAGGAGGCTTGTGATCGGAATGTGGCAGCCATATAGGAATCAGTTTGATCTATATCGCCTCCAAATTACTTGTCTCCGTCACCGGTCACTGACTGAATGACACTCGTGAAAGCCAGATTCGTGAAGAGCAAGTCGGGTTTCGTCGAGGTCGTGGCTGCATTGACCACAACTTTACTTTGCGACAGTTGTTGGAGCACTGTCACATATATTGGCGGCCCACCGTTGTCGTGTTCCTCGATAGCAAAGGTGCATTCCATTTGGTGGATAGAGGTGTACTTTAGGTTTGTCTACTCAGGAAAGATGTACTTGAGAAATATGTGGATAGTATCCTATCATTATACGCGCGTAGATCAGGCAGAGTGAGGGCTTACGGCAAGCTATCGTCGCCCTTGAATATCTTCAGCGGTGTGAGCCAAGGATGTCCGCTGTCACCTTTCCTCTTCAACTTCGCTATTGACGAAGTCATGGAAATCGCGTTCACAGGACACGACTTAGAAGGTGTAGATCTGCTCCCAGGAGAACGACTTCTTGACTTGGAGTATGTTGACGATATTGCCCTAATCTGTGACAGGTCACAAAGGTGCCAAGCGGCACTGGACAAATTAGCACCGGCTGTCTGTCACTTCGAGCTTTGCTTCGCACCCTCGTAGGGCAAAGCGTTCCTCCAAGATTGGTCTGGACCGCTTCCTACGCTGGTCCTTGATGGAGATCAGCTAGAAGTCGCTCAAAAATTCTACTACCTGGGAAGTTGTATCAGCGCCCGTGGGATTAAAGATGAGATCACGAACCGTATAGCAAAAGCTCGAGGCGCTTTTGTTAACCTTGGCCACTTATGGCGCCGGCGCGACATCACTCTCGCCCTGAAGGATAGAGTGTACGTTGTAGCGGTACGTTGGATCCTATTGTACGGTTGTGAAACTTAGCACCTTAGATCAACGGACATAAAGAGGCGAGTTAGGTTCGACCACCAGTGCCTTCGTAATTTAGCTCACATCTGGTGGGAACCGAGTAAGCAAGAATCATGTTCGACGCCTTGTTTACGGCACAGGAAATGAACCGCTCAGCACCGTTATTCCACGCACCAGGCTCCGATGGCTCGGCCACGTGTTACGCATGCCAGCCCATGGACTTCCGCGACGTGCGTTGTTTGCGCGCCGGGGATGTGGATGGAAGAAGAGAAGGGGTGGCCAAGCGAGGACATGGTCGAGAGGAGTGAAGGCCTTCACTTCGAAGCTGACCTCGGTTGGAACGTCTCGCCTCCCTGGTTGGGGTCCGAAAGACGATGAACACGTTTGGCTAGATACACTAGTTGAGATGGCTAGGAGCCGACCTCAGTGGCGTTCGTGCTGTGAGTTTCTTTGCCCTACCCCATCCTTCTCAGCCTCCCCCTCTAACCACGATCACACTATTTAGCCTTATCTAATTTTGCAGTAATTTTTTTGTTGCATAGTAGCCGGCAGGTAGCATACCGGAACGATGCCCATCCGTTACCGGTAGCTCAGCTGGCTTGCACCTGTTGCATTTTCCCTGTTTTTCTTTTATGTATTGCGGCACAGTAGCTGAGGTGTTTCCAAACTTTAGCTAACGTGTATAATGATGATGGTCCCCAACCCAGGCAGTCGGGAGACATCAAGCGACGCCAGCTTCGAAGTAAGGGCCTTTATTCTTCTTGACTAAGTCCTCACTTGGCATCCCGCACTCTTCTTCCATCCACATCCCCGGAGCGCAAACAAAGCACGACGCGGCAGTGGGTGTGCTGGCATGCGCAACATGGCCCAGCCATCGGAGTCTGATGTGTGCTATAATGGTGCTCAGCGGTTCACTCGCTCTGCCCGCACCAAATGCGCGACGCCGAACACGTTTATTGTTCACGCGGTGTTTCCACCAGGCATGGACTAAGATGCGAACGCAGCGATGGTCGAACATAGTCAGCCTCTTTCGTCTACCGATAAGCATTGGGTAAATGACGTGATACGGCTAGCTGTATTTTGATGCACGTTTACCGACCCTACTACTAAGAGTGGTTACAAAAATTCGTTCCAGCAGCCCTGTGGTAGTAGACGAAATTAATTCCGTTAGCTTTCTGTGAGATGTGTGGAATTGAACCAACATAGTGGAATTTGTGAAACATGGTTCTAACCATCAAGTCTTTAGTAGATGAAGTCATCGGATAACAGAAGTCCAGATTGTGAAATGTAAACAGAGTGTGTGGAAAATCCGAGAGGTGAAAATTGATCATTGACATACAAATAGGCTAAGGGGCCTGTCGCCAGGCGGTAGCAACCCGGGAGAGAGAGGACAGCTAATGGGTAGTCATGAATTTGACTGGTAAAGCAACATAAACCAAATCGAATTGAAAGTTGTAGCCAGAAGCGATGATGTGTGAAGCTTCCATGAATCACTGTGATTTGCGGTAAGGGCGTGACAGTTTATAGATGAAACGGAAAGGATTCCAAAGAGTTGATCGAGAGGTTTTCCAGCCTCCCAAAGTCGAGCACTAAAGTTGGAACTTAATGGCTTAATACCGATGATTGTTCACAGAAAAGTTATGTAGCACTGCATGTTGATTAAAACAGGAGTGCATTAAAAGCCGTTAATTGATATTTGAAGCACATGTCATGTGCTTGAGGTAGTGGGTGATGTGAATAAGTACGCCTCATAGACTAAGGCAAATGAACCACAAAGGTAATGTTGGTGTCCTTTCAAACTTGCTGAGAAATGGGAAACGTGCCAATGCTGATCAAGAGACGTAGACGTTGGTGATTTTACAGCGTGACTTATATCAAGGAGAAACTATGTAAACAAGTGAATAAATATATCAATAGGTATCAGTACGACTTTACGAGGTTCTACAACCTGTGGAGTGTCGATGTGAAGAGCACTTGGGTCGCACACTGATACTCAGTTGAAGAAGCCTGTGTGAGTATTGTGCGAGGATACCGCGGCTGGTAAATAGAATGGCAGATGGAGAGGAGGCTTCTACCTTGACAATGGGATCATTTTGACTCTCAGGCTGAAATCTCAAAGCGCTTGTACTTTCAGTCCAAGGTAGCGTAAAGCAAAGTATATAGATGCGGCGTCCATTAAAATACCGCCTGATGTGTAAAAAATAAGTTGGTTTACTAAAAATACTACCACAAGCCTGCATTTTGTCGTATTGCATATGTTCAAATTCTGTAAAATGTCTAGTTGAATAAAACAGGTACCTTACTGAAAGTGTGCTTACTAGCTAAAGCAAGAAGGGTCGCCAAAGAAAAATAATAATACACAGTCATTAGTAATGAAAACATGCGTGATATAGAACCGAAGTAATGTGAAAATACATAGTAAAATAGTCACCAGTTGGGGGAACAGGTGGAGGAAGAAACTGTGGAACACCCCAAGAATCCACGAGTTCGTCCGGAGGCGGTGTGTGGCAAGCAGCCAGAAGGACCGAGGCTTGGCCAGCCGAGTCTCCAATCGGTTGATCCGGAGTGTACCGCAACGATTGGTTGCCCTGGTCCCCGTGTGCGGTAGCGCTGTATTTAGTCTGATTATCATCTTCAAGAATAGGGACATCCGATCCGGATTTCAGGTTTGCTAATACGGCAAACAGGGTATAGAAAAAGAGAGTTGTATTGTACCACGGTGATTCACATGATAAAGCTAGAACGGACAGATGCTCTGGATTAAAGCATTTGCACCATATTCAAATGTAAAGGTATATAGACCCCAGAAGAATAATTTCGTTTACTGACTGTGCTGATCAGATGATCGGATTAAAAGACGGTGGTGTAATAACACATGAACACATTATGGAGCAAATATGAACTTTGAGACAATGTCCATAGTTCAGACGTGCGAAAACGGCGGTAGAGGAAAGGTCCAGTTGGCAAAGGGCTAAAGTTTTGAACGTATTTCATCAAATGGACAAATACAAAGGCGCTCATCGCAAAAAGACACTTAGGTGGGTAGGGTGAAAAATTGCATCTAAACTACCCGATTGATAGTAAGCCGGTTAATAGAAAACCATTGTAAATCAGATAAGTAACTGAAAGACAGATAATGGTGTAAAAAAATGACGTGTAGAAAGGTAGTCAGACTAAAACTGATTTGGCCTACTATAGAGGGTGATTAAAACGGAGTTTAAGTGAGTACGTACCTTGAAAGTGGCACACAATTTAGCAATCGAAGAGTGAGACGGACACCCATACGGAGGCTGGGTACCAGGAGAGGAGATGTATAACAAGCGAAATGTTAAAGAGCGTTTGAAAGTTTAAATTGAGGTATCTTATCACCTGAGAGTCCCATAGTTAACTTCTCCTCATAGTGCATTGATTTATTTTCAGTGGGCTTGAGCTGGTGGCTGATGTTCTGTGTGGGCTGGGGAAGAGTAGAAGCACGTCCTGGAGTAGCTTTCGTGAAAGATCCACTCGAGGTTTTAGTAGTTAACGATGACCCATTAGTGCGCGTAGAAGCTGTGGAAGGAGGAAAAGCGACATATGGTGAGGAATCTCAAAGTATTCAACTGAAGTAGTTCGATTCACCCCAGTTAACCTCATTCGTGATCAAAAAACCTAATTGCAGTGGGCTCAGCTGCTATGAATGGTGGCGGTGGAAAAAGTAAAACAAAGAGAAATACCAGAGTATAAAAGGACCAATCGGAAAAGAGATAAAAGATGTAAGGTAGTCGAATAGACGGAGCAACAGTTATAAACAAGATAGTGAACGGTTTTGCGAACACAAACTAAACGGGTGGAAGAAATGCATAGCGGTGAGTAGAATACAGCACAGATGGTAAAGGACAATCCAATTTACAAGGAGCAGCTTCAGAGCGCGGACAAATAGGAACGTTACTTTGAGAGGTGGAATGTTTGCGGTCGAAATCTGCCATCGATACCCTTTGGTGCCGAAGGTATATGTTGGCTGCGACAATAGACTCCAGACTAACGAGAACACGAGTCTGGTGCGCGTTTGGAGCAACGAGCAAGATACGAAGAATTGGTTCGGTTTCCCGGGCCGGTCGCCAAACGATAATAGCTGATACGCTGATGTATGACAGCTAAAGTAATGGATGAGGCAAAGAGAAGAATCGGCAGCACAAACAGTATTACATGATGAAGAGTTTGCAAGTTACCTGTGTAAATTTATGTGGAAAAATGTGAATGGAGATAAGCGAAAACGTGGTGAATAAAGACAAGTTCGAGGTACGGGTCGATCGAAGCGAGATAGAGCAACATGCAACTGAGAACAAGTAGAGTATAAAATGAAAATGTGCCCCTCCTCCACTTGACGAATAAGAATGAGCAGAGGGAGAAGTGTGTGCCAATGCCGGGACTACGTTGCAAAAAGCACGCGCTAAATATAGAAAAAAATTCAGGGTAACCACCCATGTCAGATAGAAGGCACAATGATAAATCGGTATAACTTTCTTCGATTTGGTGAGTGAAATGGCGCGATAAAAAGACGACATTTAGATCTTTTCCGACTGGTAGTAAGCAAAAATGCCGACACTGCGCTACTTCCTAGTCAAAGCACATCGGTAATAGACGATAACATCAACACACCCGCAAGCGCAGTATCCTATTTTTTGTTAGATGTCTCTTGGAAGTTTTCTCTGCGTCTTCGCACAACGTATTGAACAGGTACCAATTCGGCCTGTGGCGTTAAGGATTACAAACCCGTTTTGTAATCCGACGGCGCGGGTTCGAACCTGCGTAGGCACCAGGCGACCCTCACAGTATCACTAGTCCACGTGCGACTGCTGCTTGCGCGGTAGCAAAGCGTCGGTACCGCGTATCAGCGTAGTGCTGAGTCTTTTAATTCGAAACACTATCTACTAACTGAGATCAGATAAATCTCCTCAAAAGAGTGGAGTGCCGTCACCGTGGCATCGATAGGCTCCGTACTCGAATATGCGTGTGTCACAGTTGACTTTGAGTCACCAGCTTAGACGAGTGGTTCCACCCGATACTGAAGGAGTGAGGCTAGCCAAAACACTCGGATGGTCATTTTCTGCCAATACTAAAGAAGGCTGCATCATCACCCTGTGTACAATGGTGCAGATCAAGTTATGAGTGCGGAGAGGCAAAAGCAGGAAGCAATGAATCAAACTGATATGACTCTCATGTGGACGTGTGCCTTTGTATGATAACAACCAGCGGGGTTGTGTATGAGGAAAACGCGGCGGCAGGCAGGCGTCACATATTGACATCGAAGATCGGCAATGTGCATGGTAGAGCTATCGATGCGAGCAGCAACATATTATCAACATATTATTGAATCCGAGACAACGTGAGTGAGGCATGTACCATGATCGCTATGACGGAATAACGTGTTGCAAGTGCCGGTTGTTGGGCTAGAAAGACATAGGTAGTGTCTTGTTGCATAAATCGGACCTCAACCTTGAAGGGCCGTTAACTTTTATAGTAAGGTGCCGTGTCAGTGAGCATTGACGCTGCCACCGTATTTGATGGCACTAGGAAACGGCTAACCAACGTTCGGGGAGACGTGATGCACAGTTTTCGTGGCAGTGGAAGGTTAAAAGAGCGAGAACAGCGCGGAACGAGTTAGAAACCAACAAACCACGATAAGCACGTAGGCGAAAACAACAACAACAACAACAGCAGCAGTACATCAGCCATTTGAACTGATGCATCGCTGCCATACAACTATGAAGACCTACGGAATAAAAAGCGATGAGGGAGAGAAGCGGGACTTGCCTGAAAACCTTAATGCCCTAAGCAAACATTCAAGATCAATGCACCTACACCTTGTGTGGACAACATACCGTCACAAACAGCTGGCTATCGTGCAAAGATAAGGCGGCATCAGCGAGACAGCTTTCTTGTGGGTTTCATTTCCCCGCATCATAATCAGCCATTAGCGTGCAGATAACTCAACATGAAAAATCACGTCAAACAGGCAGTTTAACAAGGAGACAGCAACAGACGCGCCACTGGTGTCGGTTGCGAGCCATGTCCTGCAAAGTCACGAGCCAAGCACCAGGCGTGTCATGTGGACTCCAGCCCGGAAGCCAAAACAGACCAACGGCACCCAGTTTGGTCGTCAGTGACTTTATTTCCTGCTGTCAAGTCAACTTTTGTCCACCTCAGGCTTTCCGCCAGCCTATATCTGGCAGACTAAACAAGACCCTCCTAGGTAAGCGGTGACCAGGCATGCGTAGCACGTGCCCAAACCAACGCAACTTATTCAGTGCTGTCTGTCGTTCTAGCGAGCCAGCAGGATTATCACTGCGTAGTACTCGCCTGCGCACATCATTGTTGGGGACACGCTGGTGCCATCCGACACCAGCAATGTTCCGCAGACAACGAGGATCAGAAACTGGAGGGCGCATCAGATCCTCAGACCGAAGGGGCCAAGAATCACTACCATAGGGTAGGACGGTCCTCAATGTGTCCTTGTATGCACGACCTTCCAGACGAAGGGAAACTCCCTTCTGTCGCCAAAGATGCCGCAGTTCCAGGAAGGTAGTTATGGCCTTTACATTGCGTGAACTGACTTCGGTTTTTATGCGCCAATCGTTGCTGATGCAGATGCCAAGGTAAGTAAATGGATCAGCCACCTCTAGTCCCTCGTTAACGAGGGTCACTGGGTCATAAAGTGGCTGGTGGTCCTGCAGAAACACTTTGCACTTTGAAGGTGCGAAGTGCATACCAAATAATGGGACCACTAGACAAACTATTCAAAGTTGACTGTGCCACCGCAATATCGTCAAAAAGCAAGGCGGTATAGTCCGCATAGCCAAGATCAACTAAGCTTTCACCAGGCAGGACCTCAACGCATACATCGTGAGATTCCGTAAGTGAACACTCCATCACGGAGCCCCCAATGAAATGGAACAAAAACGGGGAAATCGAACAACCCTGATGAACGCCACTTGTGGTACGAAAGCTATCCGTCAGGTCACCGTAGACCGTGACGCGGCCTATCATGTTCGAGTATAGAGCACGTATTATGTTTCTTGGGAACACCTTTCCGCGCAAGTAGTTCGAACAAAATGCATCGAATGCACTTTTGAAGTCGAGGAACACAGCTATTTTCAGTGCGCGGTATACGGGGCGCTGCTATAGCACCTGCTGCATAGTGAATATATGGTCTATACAGCCACGTCCAGGGCGGATACCTGCTTGCTCTTCCCTAGTCCGAGATTCCCGTTCCACAGTGAGTCGAGGAACGAGAATCGAGGCCAGTAATTTTGTCACAGCTGGAGTTGGACTAATACCCCTGTGGTGAGCACAGTCAGTGCGACTGCGCTTCTTGTATATTGCCACTATAATCGATTTGCTCCAGTTAGCCAGGACATTCCCCAGACACCATCGAATACGGATGTCAGTGCTTTGTAGAGGACCTTATCTCCATCCTTAAATATTGCAGGTAGGAGGGAATCCGGGCCAGCGGCACGAAAACGATTAAGGTCTGTGGTCGCGTTTCGGACCTCGGCCTCCGAAGGAGGCTCTAAACGAGCCGTCCATGGCTCGTGATGCATCATCTGAGTAGGAAGAGGTCCGGGAGCAGGGGGCCAACTGAACTGATCTTGAAAGTGTTCCGCCAAACGAGCCATACGATGATCCTTATTGTGTATCAGTGCATCTGGGCTGTTTCTGGTTGTCTCACTGACGCCTGGTTTCCTTGGACCGGTGGTGCGGATAAGCTGGAAGAGGTTGCAGTAATTGCCTACTCCTCCTGCCTCCTCCATTTCTTGAGCCCGACTAGTCCACCAGGCTCCGCCTTACTTTGCACCTAATAGTCCGTCTGGTCACACTGTGCTCAGAGCCAGCTTGAAATTTTCTTCTGGATTCTAACAGGTTCACCGACCTTTTGGATATACAGAGACTGGTGTGATAACTATTGATAATGCCTCTATCAGATGCTTTTGTGTCGTGCATAGCGGCCGAGATCCTATTCCACTGGCGCTCAGTGTCATTAGGACAAGACATCGAAAGTTCCGGACACAATGATTCTTGATAGGCTTACCTGATTGAGGACTGAGACAATTTCTCCGTTGCCAATCGGGGGAGACACTTAGGGCGCCTCCCGGTAAAGTTCATGGAGAAAAGACAACGTAGTAAGGCATGATCAGAGTGGACACAGGTACTCCAGAAGGAGCGATAATCTAGGACGGAATCACGCCACCTGTAAGTAATGGCAATGTGATCAATTTGGGTCCATCGCTGGCCAGCTACAGGAGGACACCAAGTGGCACTTCGGCGCTCACTGTGTCTAAAAGTGGTGCTAGTAAGAAACAACTGGTGTTCCGCACACAGTTGCAACAGACGCTCACCGTTGTCAGTCCGTTCGCAGTTAAGCCCATAATTACCATCTAGCTGAGCTTCTGAAGAGCTCAGACGCTCTACTTGTGCGTTCATATCCCCTGCAAATACTATAATATATGAACTAGTAGCACTGCGTAATAGCGCATTCAGCTCGTGATAGAATGTATCCTTGACAGCATTTGAACTGCAGTCGTTGGGAGCATAAGCGAAAACACAGAGAAACAGCGTTTTGCACTGCTTCATGAATCAACCTTAGTTGATGTCATCAAACGGGCTGCAAATAAGCTGCTGTTCACCGGAATCCAATCAACCAACGACGGCTCAGCTTTGGAGCAGAGAATAATATCTGCCCCAGCTCGACCCGTGAGTGCTGCATCAGTGTCTCCGGATGCGTGTAACCAAAAGCGAGAGGACAAGTCGGGCGCAGTAAATTCAACAATCCCACTAGAGTCCTTGATACTAGTTTGGGACACACCACATCAATCCCCAGTGTGTCCAGAGTGCGTGCAAGTGCAGCCTGCTGACCTATTTGTCTTAGAGTGCCAACGTTGAACACCGCCATGAAAACGGGACAGCGCGTCCTTATAAGGGACTGTTCCGATAGGCGTCCGGTGGGTGTTGCGGGAAGGTGGCTGCAGATGGTTCTACTCCAGTGGCACTTCGGTTGCTGTCAATTAAGCTGGGAATTATAGAAGGAAGGTTAGTAATGGGGGTTAGGATGGGAGTAAGAGAAACAGTTGGAAAAGAAAGAAGGGCAGCGCCAGCAGTAGCATGTTTTCGCTTATCCGCCCTGCTGTATGCAGCAGATAAGGCGACCCTTGATAATCTGCGCGACCGCCGATGCAGGATGTAGTTAGAGTTAGGGGAAAAAGTCATAGCTGTATGTGGGCTAAGATACTGCCAGGGCGCCCAGACATAAACAGGAGGACGATTAGGGTCCTCAACCAAAGCCCTTGACTCCAAACCCTGTACGCAAGGCAGCGGGGAGGTGGTAATGAGTTATTTTTACCGAAATGGACGCCATCCCATTTCAAACGCCCAATCTGGAGGACCAGGAGACTTAATTTGTCTGACCTCTAACCATTGACCAACCTGGTAGGAGTAGCTCTCAAGGGGCCAGGAGGCACCACCCAGTATAGCTCAATGGGTCAAGGAGGTAGGCAAACCGTCGCACCACGTTAAGGTCCAGTCTCGTTGGGACAGAGTTAGAAAGAAACGCGTGTCACTAAATATCGCATGAGCAACGTACTGCGTTGATGGAAAATGAGTCACCTTCAACTCAATCGTGCATCACATTCGCACACAACCCTGTCTAAATTCGTCGGATTTACGGTGAATTTGTCGCTTACGGATGCAAGAAGGGCAGCGCCTTTGTAGACACGGTTGCCTGTGGCCGTTAAGGGTCATCATGAAAGTGCGTTTCGAAATGCATGAGGTTGATTATAACGTGTGTTAATAGCATTAAAAATTCAACAAAAGGGATATTGGTCTATTACCATATAAAGTGAGGGAATATGGTAGAGTACAATCCACGTTAATTCCGCACGGGGCTTATGGCTATCCCAGCCTCAATGAAAAGAAATGTGACAGACTTGTTAGAGGAATTGATCAGATGAAAGAAACAGGAATTATCTCGTTGGAAGTCAACATAGCGCTGGTCGAAGCCCATCGGTCCTCATTCAACGCTGCATCGAAGTCGAAAAAAGTCACACGTTGAAGATATATACAGTAAGTTGACCCCTTTTTCATAGCTTAAATGGTCACTACATACACCCTATGGAACTAAATCTCTGTAGAATGACCACTTAGGCTATGACAGTCAGTAATAATTCAACCTCCATAAGTTGATCATGAGTATTTACCATCCAATGGTTTCCGGATGGCTCGTTTGTTCCGATAATATGGTGTGCATCGGGACTGCAGTATGTGGATTCTGACTCCCAAATCAGGGAAATTTAAGTTTGAGGATACAACATTCTCTGTGTGTATGAGTATGTGTGTATTTGTCCCGCTTGTCAGCGTTTATTGCCCCATGCTGAGGCTGATGCTGCATTCATGATGCGTCTTCACCGCAGTTGGGTTAAACCAACATACAATTAAGCTAGGACTTTTAAGCTGGATAAATTTCGTTCCACGTTATTTGGTTTGTTCTGCCTACCTGAGTAATTTGCTGTTAACTCGCACACGTTGCTTACGCTAATTGTGGTTATCTTCGTTAACTATCGCGTTTGTAGCATTTTTAAGTAACTTGTAGACAATTTGTAGTTATCGCGGGTGCGGTGCTAACCAACTTACTTCATGTGCTAATTTAGCGAACAGTTATGTCGGCATAGCCGTATGCTGTAACATATATACTTTATTTGATAATGTCATTTCAAGTGATTGGTTGTTGTTTGACGTCCCCAGTGTTACTGCGCTTGATGTGCATGTTGACAAGGTGCATACCTGTCTATTACCCACTATCTCGTCCATACTGGCTCCAGGAGAGTCGGTCGTTGCTGGAGGGGACGGGGTGCACGGTCCCCGTGGCCGTGCTAGGCTCGAAGAGTGGTTCCATGCACTCAGTGTGGAGCGGACTGCGGTCCAAGCACCAGTTTGTGTGCGACAGATTCCCAACCACAGCGTGCTTGTGTAAATCGTGCACGGGAGAAATCGTGCCACCAGCGCAGAAAGGCTTGGGGGTTGATAACGCGTGTTGAACATCGAATTTTGATGGAAATTCTAAGCGATGATAGGGAAAAGTTGAGCGAGTTGTGAAAGAAGCGCCTCAGGACCAAGGGGCCACTCGACGAAACTATGGCATTCCTCGTCGTGAGTTAGAGCGCCGGCTTCGTGGCCAGATAAACCGCCAAGGGAGGATTTGATGAAAGCGGATAAGCTGGAAGAGCTTGCGGTAGCTGCCCACCACTTATGTCTACTTTATTACAAGAAACATCGAGCCCACCAAAATTCTTCGTGCACTCTCGTTTAACAGCTATCTGATCAAAATGAGCTTTGGGTCACCTGGGATTCTGAATTCTAACAGGTTAGCTAAACCCTTGGGTAACCGAGATACAGTACTCTAACGACAAGCGATACTACAGGCAGAAATTCCCCTTTCGAAGAATGGTAGCAGAAGTCCTGGTTCCATGAAACCCAATGTAATTACGTGAGAGCGTAGTACGCGAGACGTAATCGTGGGCATACCTAACCGTGGGCTGAGACAGATTCTTGGTCGCCAATCGAGAACAGCGTGTCGTGTTTCTCATTAGAGTTCAAAGAAAGGAGGCAGCGGGATACAATATGGTCCGCATCTAGAAAAGTGCCTCAAAATGACCGGATGGAGGTGCGCTAGCTAAAGTAAATAATAATGCGGTCCAGTGTTGGCCAGATGGGCGCAGAAGCTCTCACGGTGTCCAAAGCCCGTAGTGCCTAGAAACATACGATGGTGAGAGCACAGTTGGAACAAACTCCGCCCGGAGTAAAGGCTAAAAACACGCAACCTGACAATGCATCAGAGTAGGTTACATGATCCAAGTATGTATTCCTTCTCTTTAACCAGAAATCCGAGTATGTTGGGTTGCTCACCTAGTCCAGCTGTCTGTTGTAGATGTTTCGCTACCCGTCCAGGTAATATCCTCAGCGTAACGTTCAGGTTTCCCGGAGGATACATTAAAGAGGCTGCCTAGCATAGCAGAGAAACATCCGCAAACCAAATGCTCAATGCGACAAACAAACTACGTGTTCATCCACATCTAGAACTACAAATATCCCAAATGACTACCAACAAGAACATCATCTGAGTTAACAACGCACGGCTCGTTGTAAAAAGCGCCGAAAACTACAAACAAACAAAGCTTCGCGCCGCTCCGTGAGCATGCTCCTGTCGAAATTGTGGTCCTTTTAGGAACGCACGTAAACAGTTGCCCACAGAAAGCCAGTCAAGCAAAGGGGCTCGGACCAGCAATCAAGATCGAAGTTCACTTCTGTTCGATCTATGGTCACTGAATCAGCATATGTGCGTGCAACTAACACAGAGAGGACAAACTAGGTGCAGTTGGTCCGAAAACCGCATGAGAGATTGACTAGTCGTTTCAAAGGATAAAAAGTAGTTTCCTAACAGTCTTGAAGTACTGAGGTTCTAGAGTCACCAAACAAATAGGGCAGTATGACCTGGTAAGAGATTTTGACGGTAAGATACCATTGGGCTTTGTGGTAACATGGATGTGAACGATAAAACATCGGCAGTACTATGACTGTTGACACTACCGTTGGGGATTATGGAAGGAAAGTTAGTACTGGGGTATTAGAAGAAGTGTAGGAAAAGAAAGAAGGGTGAAATCGAGAGTAGCCTGTTTTCGTTTTTCTACCAGGATGCATAGGGCATATAAGGCGACCATTTCGAAACTGCTAAGCGTTCTATTCATAATGAGGCCGAAGTGTGGGCAGAAAGTCACTGGTGTACATGGGTCGTGGTATCGCTACTGTCCAAACCTCTGGAGGTGTACAGCTAGGTTCATCAACTAATCTTTGGATCAAAAGCCTGATCGTGAAACAACAGGAATACGACAATGGTCCATGAATTAGGCCAATTTTACAGTGATGTGTGCTGCTTTACTTTCAATTAACAAGCAAGGAGGACCATGATAGTAGGTTTGTTGAATATCCATCCCCTGACCAATGTGATAGTTTTCCGGGAGCCCAAGGGCACCACCCAAACAGATGAGTAGACCAAGGTATACAAACCATTGTGTCCCATGAATGCTCAGTCTCGTTATGACAAAGAAGCATAGCAAAATGTGGGGGTCTATTGAATCTTTTCTTCTTGCCGCTGTGATGCCGAAGATGTCCTGGAAACAACGGCTAAAAACCTATGAAGGCTCAGGATAGCAAGCATATTCGAGAGATAATACTTGGAACAAAATACCGCGGGTAGAAACGTGAAAAGATGCTATATTTGAAAGCCGCCTGCTATGATAAAATGTGATTGACCACAGGAGACGACCTAAATCGGTAAACTAATCAGACACAAAAATGTCGAATGACAAAGGTTAATGGATACATAGATGGGTAAAAAAGAAATTCATCAAGAGTAGAGTTTTATCGGACTAAAACCCACCAAAGGGATGGTAACCTTGCTCGCTGGTGCCGATTTCCCCAGCCCAACCGACGTGGAAGTCAATGATGGCAATGCTTCCATCCAGCTGTTAGTTGCGTGGCGCAGTTCCGTTGTATCATCGTCCGCTGGAGTTAAGACATGCGCTTCAAGGGTGCCTTGGCCGACCTGGGTGTTGGCAAAGACGAAAAAACTTGGTTAAAAGATAAATTGGGGTAGTTGGAGTAATAACACGGGAGTAGGATTGAAGGACTATGATGAAAGCAGAAATAACCAACACAAGTGAATATAATTCAAGAAAAGCGATAAATAAAACTAAAAATAAGCAATTTTAAAGAAGGTAAGTAAAACACAACCCCCTGATGTATGAAGAACAGAAGTCTCCGCAAGTTGTATGCTCGTTAGTCACTCATCGTAGCCCAAGTCAAACCGCAACCATGCAGTGGCAACTGTATGTGGTTGGACGAGGTGCTGTGGAGAGTTGCAGAGTTTATTTGAGTAGGTCAGATATAAGCATAACACCAAAGTGTATCAAGTGAATTCGTCTGAACTCACGCCGCTGCGGTAGAGGTCAAAAAGGAATATAACAACAAGTGGATGTCTCATCTCGTCGGCTACCGGCCGACACCTCTTTGGCCCAAACCCAAAAGGTAAGCAGCACTAGCAAAACGCAGAAGTCCGGTTAACGTAAGGATGAGAAGTTTCCACAGTTTGGCAGATTCTGAGTATCGACCAAACAGTAGCGGTGTTGCCACACAAAGGACCCATAGAAAAGTGATAGGTTATTAAAAAAAACACATACGGAGTGTATGCGCCAGAGGGAGATGAAACAGTCAGATGCACAAAGGCTGTTGTAGTAAAACGATAATCGCCACCCCCGTACTGCCCACCTTAGGTATGGCTGATGCGTCGTAACCAGTATGAGCCATTAATAGGTTGTATTAGGAAAAAGTAAAGTGCCGCGTGCTCGCAAATCTGATAATAGGGGGAATTGCATCACACAAGGGAGCTGCAGAAACAAGAAAAAACCTGAGTTGGTCCAAGTGCTGATGCAAGTTCGGAAAGATGGACATTCATCACAAATAACCAGTTTCTTATGCTACACAAGATGGTGGTGGTTGATGGTTCACATAAGGAAAAGATATCTACTAGTGTGGGTCAGGTAGAGTGCAAAAAATTAACGGGCGAAGTGGAAAGAGACCTAGCACCATCGGAGATTAACTAAAGAAAAGTCGTGGAAGCGTGAAATAAGCGAACACAAGAAAACCAAAAGAAAGATAAGTAACTACTAGGTTGTGACCGTCTTCATGGGAGTTCGACGGATGATCAACATACCTTCTGATACAACCTAAGAGGTCGGGGTGGTGACGCAACTTTGGCACCGCGTGAGAGCGTGTGAAGGTTCAGCGCGACACCAGTTTGCTTGAAGCTCGAAAGTAACTGCGATACGAGTCGTGGGATGTTCAAGCTGAGAGAAGTCGCAGTTGCAGCGACATCAGGGGACGCTGCAATACGCAGAGGGAATGGAGGAGGGGCGAGTAAGCACATTGCATTGTCACCAGAGTCTCCGTTGGATGAGATCGGTGCAAATACACATGGCAACACTGCGTTCATTCCAAGGACGTTGTCCACTCCCCAATGAGTGACAAATACCGAATCCAAGCTGCAGGTGAAGGTAAAAGCAAACAATGTACGAGTGCAAAACTTCGAGAGTGGGAAGAAATTGAGGGGAAAGCAAGTTGACCAATGTTGAAAGGTAAATTGGCTCAGTTTAGCTGAACTGCTGCGACCAGTCTATGGGACTGCGGTGAATTGCGTTGACCTGGCTCACGCTCCCAAAACAATAAAAAGAAGAATAATTCTGGAGAAAATGTAAGGAACAAAAATCATCAGATGGAGTAGCTAAGGGTCAGGAATAAAGTGGCGGATACAGAGCTGTACACTAATTAATGACTGCGCAATATCTGATAGGAGATCTACCGACGTAATTGAATAGCCGCCTGCGGGTTTCTTTCAGTTATGTGCAGTATTGTTAAACACTACGCACAGAGACAGCCGATAGCGGATTATAGGCATTAACCGCCATATGCTGAACATAAGAGTTGCTCATTCGGTGCTTAGATTAGATCGCAGGAGAGCACTGAAAGTAGTACTAAAGAGACGATCAGCCCCTTAAAATATTCAACGTACAGCGACTATGTTGTTGATGCAGTGCTGTGCACCCTCCCTGTTGCAGAACTTAGTCTTTCAAAGACAAGCATTTATTAGGTAAAATCAACTGTGAAAAGTACAGAAAATTTGGCATGCCCAACTCCTCGATACAAACTGTCCGCTCACAACCATAAGTAACGACCCTTATGAACCAATGGGGTTCCTCCTTTGAGTCAGCTAAACAAACGATGAGTAACCCACACGAACTCCGACCAGTCAGTGTCCAGTAGCCAAGTCCGTTATGTGCGCCTCCCATCGGTTGATCCATCTATTCACTCTGATGGGACACTCCCATTATATCCTCACTATTTTGTGTCCTTGCGCCTCCATATTGCTAGGCACTCAACGTCATTTCGTTGTATCTGCCGCAGTGGTTTCCTTGCCCCACGCTATAGGGAAATCCACGCCCAATCTACATTGTTGTCTCCGGTGTCGTTTCAACTGCACTCGATTTTTTCTAAGCGTTTTCCATCCAAACATTTACTTCGTATCACCTAGCACCAACCTTCGCAGTCACCACACCTTTCTTCTACCGCTCTTCACCATCGGGTACTGGTTGAACGCATACCCCCTCTCCCAATGTCAGATCAGATAGTGCCGGTTTTCGGCGGCGTAGTACCGTTTCTGAATGGTTATTCGTCTTCTCAGACTGTACTGTAACATCCCATGTTATGGCGAAAATAGGCCTAAAAGTGCGACAGATGTCGGCATCAGAGTACTAGTCTTTCGGTTGTATAGGCGATACACTGGGTTCAAACTGATATGCGCTAAAGGGGTGTTGCGATTCTCCAGTAGCATGGTATACGGGTCTTCCAATAGTCTTTGATAACAGTCGCTTGACCTGCTTCACTATTGACTCCGCTTTTCTAATCGAGTGGCTGTGATATGGACTTGTTTGCTGGTGCACGAATTCGCACTTAATTGCGAATGCCTGGAACGCAGCGCTAGTAAACTGAGGACCATTGTCGGAGACAAGCTCTTCCGGTATTCCGTGCCACGTGAATTGACACCTGAGCTCGTTGATTACTGCTTCTGTGGTCGTAGTTGTGAGTAAACCAACTTCAAAGTAATCACTATAGCAATCCACCGTGAGTAAAGAATCCTTCTTGCTGTCAGAGAATAAATCCACCGTCACCTGCAACAGTTGATCAAGGACATCATGCAGCATCGTTGGTTCCCCCGTTTGCTGGATTTCCGGTGTAAACATCACGGCTTGCAGTTCGACACATGATCCCTGATTTGATCCGTCATTTCTGGCCAGAACATCAATTTTCCGTCTCGGTTAGTGGGATAGTTAGCACCAAGATGACCTTCAGAGCGAGGAGGCGACACAAACAGGAATGAGCAATAGAATCAAAAGCAATCTTCAAGTAAAGGAACATTGGCATGATATGCCGTTTGCAAGTACAGTGAGGTTATAGCCCCTGGTGAAGAACAAAAACTTGATCGATGCACTCTCTATCGGGATAGAAGCCAGCCTGACTTTTACTGATTAGCTTCTCACCGTCAGTAAGCCGCTACAGAATGATGCACATCAGTAGTTTGGAGGCAAGGGAGTTTCACAAGGTGTACTTCGGTGCTTTTTATTCATGGGAAGGGTAGTAGACAACCACCAATCAGAAGGCCTCTCCCTTTTGCGCTAACTAGGGTCAGACAGCGCAGAGAAGGCAGTCAGTAGTGAATCATCACCGCTCTTCAGAAATGAAGGAGAGAAGTCACCTTGGTCAGACGCCTTGTTCCATCTCACCAGTACCAGGCCGTCTCGGATCTCGACCGATATTGGAACATGTTAACGTTCTGGATGGGCGCAAGTGATTTAATTAACAATTCTGATACACTGGGCTGGCTAAATTGCTTTCAGAGCGCCCGGCCCAACGTTCTGGTCGATGGGACAGAATAAATCAGCCGTACACAATTTCCAACTTTTGTCCCACTCACTTGAGTCTTCCTTAGGCCCCCGTCAACCACTATCCATCAGACCCGTAGACGACGCTTCAAACGGTTGTGAGCAATTCGTGACAGACTACTTTCCGTGTTTCAATCAGGCTGATCGTTTCAAGGCGTAAGTAGGGTCGAGTGTACACGACTACAGAATGTGACAACTATACAAAGCAGCTAGGCATAGCATCGTAGTTTATGTTGTTATTTTGCTGCCATTTAACTACCTCATAGAGTGGAACAAAGTTGGCTGAACTAAAACACGTAGCGGTGCGTGGTTATTCGCAGTGAAAAAAATCAAAGGCAAAGGAGTGGTGAGCTAAACATGGTTGCGACATTGTGCGACGAAATTATTCATTCATTCAACACGTTAGTTAGAAACATCGAAACCATTGTGCCTCACGCGCACCAATACGCCATATCTGGTTTTGAAAATGGAGAGAATGCGGTTACGCAGCTTCTTTGGAATAGAAAGTGAAATTGCATATGAAACAGGAGCCAAAAGATTAAAGCGGTCAATATCGTACCGGTCCAAATAGCTTAGCACCGGCCAGCAATTCGGACGATGTGAATGGCCGGCGTTGATAAGCATACTGTATCCGGGTAACGTAAGAATAGAGGACTGTCCGGAGCCCTCGGGAAAGATGTACAGGCTAAGTCTAAGCGCACGAAGCGATGGTTCTGTTGAAGCCCGGACGACGAGCGGATTCCTTAGCGGTGCGCACAGTAGACGGCCGGAAGTTCCATCCACATACTTTGCAAGATGTCATCTAAGGCTAAGGAAGAGACAGAACATAGCTATATTAAGCAATAGGATGGTTAAAAGGTTATCGGAAAGTTAATAATTATCAACTAGATCAAGCGGGACGAGAGGGTGGGATTTAAGAGTCAGTGTGTATTAGTATGAGGTTGGACGAATCTATGTAACCTTTACAAGTAGTAGAGAATTTTTCGAAACATCTGTTATAGAGTAGAAACAATGCTGTGTTTACAAAAATACCATTCACCAAATGACTGGCCATGTCCGACGGGGTGCACCGGTGTACTGCAGTCTCATGAATTACGAACACTCCGAGCGAAAGGCATGATGGTATGGTGAGCAAGCGTTGAGGGGTACATGGAAAAGAAGGAATTTCCAGAAGTGAATTCAATCTATGATGTCAGCTTCGTTGGCGCTAAGATACCGACAGACGAGTAGTCAATCCATTTGGACGTTATTTTAAGCGGACATCATTAGTAAAAAGAAGACAAGTCCCCGTAAAAGCAGGATTAGATGTCGACCGAGGACAAAACACATGAAAGGCCAATGAAGAAGGACCAGATGGAAAGAAGAGCAGAACTCCCAAATAAGAACGAATTACAAGATGTAAGAAGGAACGGAGAAAGAAACCTACCGGAAAAGCTTGATGAATCGGATGTAGTGCCATTAAGCTCTTGGTTTACCTGAGCACGATTAGTGTTAACTGCGAGTTGGATGGTTCGAGCACCTAGCAAATCGGGACGACGGGAAAGCAACTGACGCCACTCGCCTCCAGATGGGAAACCGCCGATAGCGACATGAAGATGAACGCGCCCGAATGATTGTTGGCCATTTACGTCAGTCTGGAAGGGTAAGATCGGAATAGAAATTCGTTATTGGGAAGACAAGTACGCCACGTTTGGCAATCAGGAGACCGGGTGGGAATGCCTGAGTTATATCACAGTAAGGCAAAGATAAAAGCACATGTGCAATGGTGTTTAAAACGAGTTACGTTACACAGATAATGAAATTAAATGTTGAAAAAGCTAAAACCAATACAGAGGGCATTACTACCCTCTGTAGTAACACGTCCATATCCTCAAAGATGCAAATGGATAATAGCACCGGAATATTATTTTGGCTTTGCTCTTTACAAACACTGCATACTAAGATGGGAAATCACCTTACTCATAAGAAGTTCCAAGATTCGGTATGACTGGAAGTAATTACAAGGTAAACTACTGCTGAAATGAGTCGCGAGTTGAAAATGAAACGCTGTGAGTAGGTTAAACCGGAAACTGAACGGTAAACTGCTGACAGATAGAGAGTAGGTACGCAATGGTAGTACGTCAGAATCTCCCGCTGACGCTTCGTTACCACTTAAGCACAGGCGGTTGCGTGTAACCTGGGATACTACGAGGTAATCTGCACCATCACAGATTCGAACTGATGGCTCGTGGAATATAAATCAAACGCTTGAACTATACCGCCACTGATCGGATGCTGGCCTCAAAGCTAGGGAGTTTGATAATACCATTACCAGCCAGTACTGACAAGACCTCAGTGGAGTCCAAATGATAGCGGAGTCGGTCATAGAGTGAACGGTTAGAAGCTAGAAACACCGAAAGTGTCTGGTTAGAGCATAGTTGAAGCAGTGGGGGAAAAAACCAACGTTTATTCGAAATAAAGCATGAGCACAGTTTAGGCTGAGTCGTACTTCAAACAGATCACAAGTACTCCGAAGACCGAAAATTAGCGGTAGAGCTTATTGGATGGAATTCCCCACAATTATGCTGAATGCACGGAGAAGCAGTGAACTGTCTCTCTCCTTTTGGAGCCATGTCAACGATGCTCACGCTTTCGGCTGGGTAAGGAGCCGAAACAGTGACCGTCTAAATGTGGGCCACGGTCGGCGCCGACAGCCGATATAACTAAGTCACTGGTCATTAGTCACTAGAAACACGAGTTTTACTACGACAAATGGTGCAGAGTGAGTTCACCGAGAAACACATCTCCCACTTGGGTTCCTTGCTGGAGCACCGGAGCGTAGACAAGATTAAACACAATGAAGTGTTGGCGATGGATGTGATCACATTCACCTGATGTCATTGTGTCGACTATGCTTAGCTGCGCGTACGCGTTGTATTGACCTTCGTTAATAGCACTGCAATTAGTTCTAGTTCATGTTAGCTACAGTGGATGAAGCCAATGGTTGGACAAATGGAGTCAGTTCGTCTACGCCGTTCTCTGAGTACAGTTAATATGGACTTGCCGTTGAATGGTTGGTAGTGAGTAAACGCACAGAAAAGTAAACGGACAACGTTCGCTATGGGTTACTCACCACATCCGGCTGCGACAGATTTATTTGCTCAAGTTGGTGGACGAAAGAAGTGGGGGTAAGTACAAAATCTGGCAGTATCCAATAACCGGTGCCATGCGCCAGGAGTCCGCTATAAACGAGCACAGCGTTGAGCGCGTCACTAGGGTTCGTAGCTGGAGCAAGTAGGTTAGCGAGAAGTGATGCAAGCTCGGTGCCAGAGGGTCTGCACGCAAACCGAAGGGTGAGGTAGGGTGAGACACGCTCCAGCAAAATTCCATCTGCAGAGGATCACCAAAGAAAAAACCGTTAAAGCTATGAGATGATGAAAAGTAGACCAGACAATGGAGACACTTGCGAAATTCTACCAAATGACGTTGAAATCAACGGACTGAAAGTATAGCTGGCACAGGAAAGATATCACGGTAAGAATGTGGGAATTGTTGAGCAAATGATAAGAGGAAGGTGAGAATTTAGTATGGCTTCGTAGAAAGTCAAAATAGTGGTAGTTCCAAGTCAAGTAGCAAAGTGTTCGGCCACGCAATATCACGAGAACCACAATGTAGAGTAAAAAGTCACAGTTAAAAGTAAGGGTTTAGGTTGATAACGGCGAGTTACTCAACCCAATGAGCCACTAGTCGGAGGATTTAAATTGGAACAAGAGATGAACTAACTCATCACAGCCCACGTATAGGCGCCGTCAGCATGAGAATCGTTCCAAACCTGCATAGGACTGGAATGAACTATAGTAAACTTGCAATTTGATCGTCTTCGGTAGCATCATTGATAGCGGAAAATAAGTACTCTGTACTTTTGCTTAATTGGGACCTAAGGAGCGACTATGAGAAAAAATTAAAGATGGGTTAAGGAGCCTTGTGGCACTCAAGTGTAGTAGACGCATGAGGTTAAAGTGTCTACACTTTGCCAAAAACGCACGGCGGCAAGAAGCTGGCTAGTGATCGGATGAACTAAGGCGGGGCTGACGAAGCAGCTCACTTGAGGCATTCACCGCCATGTAACATGAGCAGTATAGAACTACAGATACCATACAGATGCACACAAGTTGTAGAGATAAGCACGTGTATGATCCGATAGCAAACATTCTGCTGGTGTTTTTCGCAGGCTGTGTCCTGAAATGTCTCGGTTCAAGCGGAGGTGGGAAGAGTAAGCCAGGACGAACAGCATGCAGATTAAGGACCAGTGCCATGAATCCCGTTACCTTTAAAGCCTGAGGTGGTGGACGAAAATGAAGACCGATAATCTTATCATTTTATTCGCGTCAGTCGTGGGGTACCAATGTTGGATGCGGCCACGGATAGCGGGCAGTGTAGTCTGAAAAGGGGCATTGCTAATACGAGGCCATCGGACACGGTGAGGACCTGGATACAGAGCGTAAGATTCCAGCAGTTCCTCAGTTGCCCGCACTTACGCTGGGGACGAAGAAAGTTAGTTATAGGGGTGGAGAAGGGTGTAAAGCACACAAGTAAAGGAGGAAGGAGACAGGTGATCGCAGTAACCCGCTTTCACATATCCGTCGTGTTACAGTTTGTAGATAAGGTGACCCTTTTGGAGATGCGAGACAGTCAATGCAAGAGGCGGCTAAGGTTAGATGGGATAGCCATTATTATTTGCGAACTCAGGTACAACCAGGAGGCCCACATTCAAAGAACGATGGAAGCGAACAATAAATACATTTCACACTGAGGTTTAACAGCAAAACAGAGGGAATACAGTAACAGTTCGCAAACTGAGTCGTTTTGAAGAGGACTTGAAGTTATCTTAGACTAAGGTGGGAAGAATAGTTCACGATGTGATCCAAAGTACCACCACCTAGTATAACAGCGGATCAGAGTAAGCAAATGGTTTCAACTTAAGGTCCAAACCAGCTGCAAAAGCAAAACATTGGCCAAAACAGACCATTTTAAAAGAACAATCCCCGGAAGTGCGAAAGAAGTATTAGGATATTGCTGGACAGGAGAAGCTTGTCCCTAAAGCCAGAGGTGGAAAATGACGCGATACAATCGCTGCAAATTGGTGCAGCTAACAAGTCGCAAAATCAGTAACCAACACGAACATAGGCATTTAGGGATACGGGGACAAGAGGTTTGTCGAACTAGACCAAAATGTATATAACCACGAAACGCCCGAACGACTAGGTGGTCAGAAAACGCCAATGGGAGTTTAGGGGTCGAGAGATGCAAAGCAGACAACCAGTGTGAAATCTCGTTGGAGCGGGCTGGTATAGTACGGGAACGTGCGCGTAGGCTGTCATAATAAGAAGAGGCACAAAACTGCCCGGTATAGTCTAAGCAGTAGTAACGCGAGCATTCGACTGACTTGTGCTTACACACTGTATGCTTAGAGGTTACAAGTGGAGGCAACTCCTGCAGAATGAGGACCACAGGACGCCTGCGCCTATAGAGGGACCATTGGGGGCTGCGATGCGTTCCACCCACATACCCCATTTCCAGTGTAAACGCGAAGGAACAAGTCCTGGAGGCATGCGGAGTGGTGTAGGTAATCTCAGCGGTCTAGTAACTAGACATAGAGCCAATAAAAACCATGGAAATCAGTGGATAGGAGAGTCATTGCGTTATAATCATCGTGGCATGCTAGTTGAAGGTGGGCAACACACTTCAGCTAATATGCCGCAAGAAAACGGAATATTTTGGCAAAAATACAGAACAAAACATTTTTAGTTTGTTTGTCACACGCCGATTTTTCTCTTTTTTTGTCATTTTCAATATTAGTAAAATTAAACATGTGAATCAATACAACACTGTACACAATTCTTCCACTGATTCCGGTTGCGGGCCATGTCTTCAAGAGTCCTAAGCCATTGGCACTCCTCATCTTTGGGTCCCCATCCTGGAAGACGTACGGGTCCAACAGCGGCTAGACGCGACGTCAGCGATTTCATGTGCTGCCGCCAAGTGGAAGGCTGACCACCACGCGGTCGCTTCCAGCCAGGTCCTTGACGAGCGAATAGAGCGCGACGCGGTAGACGCTCAGGTGCCATGCGTAGGACATGACCGAGCCATCTTAACTGGCGCAACAAAACCAGTTTGTTGAAGGAAATACTTGCATTCCCCAAGATGCGACGTCGAACGTCATTACTGGTAACTCGATGTTGCCACCGAACACGAGCGATCCTCCCTAAACAACCGTTATCGAACGCAGAAAGACGACGCATGTCTTCCACGCGAATCGGCCAGGACTCGCTCCCATACAACAATACTGAGCGAACTGACGCGCTGTAAACTCGGCCCTTTAGTGAGAATGAGACGTCGCGACGACGCCACAAGTGCCTCAGATTGACAAATGCTGATCGAGCTTTAGCGATACGAAGCGAAACTTCTTTGTTGATTGTGCCGTCAGCGGAAACACAGCTCCCAAGGTAGACGAAACTATCTACCTGTTCAAGTTGTGCACCTTGGAGAGTGAGCACGGGTGCAGGTGAAAGCCAATCCTTGAGCAGTACTTTACACTTCGATGGGGCAAAGCTCATGCCATACTTAGATGCTTCAACCGCCAAACGATCCAGAATGAGTTGCATACGCTGAGGATCGTCACCAAGTAAGGCGATATCATCAGCATAATCTAAGTCGGTCGCGCGTTCACCCGGTAGAAGCTCTAGGCCAAAATGTTGGAAACCTTCTAGGGCATTCGACAGAACGTCTTCGATTGCGAAGTTGAAGAGGAATGGGGACATAGGGCAGCCCTGTCGCACACCGCTCTTGACAGCGAATTGCGAGGAAAGCTTGCCATAGACCCTCACTCTGCCGCATGTATGAAGGTAAAGTGCTCGTAAGATGGCGGTATATTTCTCTGGCACCCCGTTCTTTAGTAAGCAACGTCATAAAGCAGGTCGATCAACGGAGTCAAAAGCGGCACGTATGTCTAAGAATGCAACGATAGTAGGCCTGTGATAAATGTGGCGATGTTCAAGGAGTTGGCGGAGCGTGAAGATTTGATCCACGCATCCGCGGCCAAAACGGAAACCAGCTTGTTCTTCACGGTAGTATGATTCACGTACTGGGGATAGTCTACGAAGTAGAATGGATGCCAACAACTTAGAGGCAACCGAAATAAGACTAATCCCGCGATGATTTGCACATGAAGTGCGAGCACCTTTCTTGAAAATTGGGACAATAACGGATTCGCCCCAAGAGGAAGGCACCTTCTCTTCATGCTAGACTTTCGCGAACAGCGATGTCAGCTGGTTAATGATCGCCACACCGCAGTACTTGAATAGCGCCAGAGTAAGTCCGTCTAAGCCGGCAGTCTTAAAGCGCTTCAAGCGTCGAATCTCGAGGCAGACTTCCGCTTCGCTGGCTGGATTCAGTGGGACGAGCCAGGGTGGACAACAAGGTGTACTGCATGTACTGATGGATGGTGGAGGCCAGTTGAACTGCGAGTGAGTGCTCGGCCCAGCGGTCCATACGCCTCTGATGGTTGATGATCAGACTCATCCACCTCACAAATGACCTCACTGACACCAGGCTTCCTGAGCCAGTGGACCGAATGAGTTGGAAAAGCCTGCGAGTGTTACCAGTGAGGGCAGCAGTCTCCATCTCTAAAGCACGCTCAGACCACCATGTCTCGCGATCCTTGCGTAGGCTTTGCTTAAGCAGCCGGTTGGGCAACCGGGTAGTATCACGCCCTCTCTCAAAACCATGGACTTCACTACAATGCGTTCATCAGCTACTGTTCCTGCTACTCACTTTCACGCTACTCCATCACACGCCAATTGTTTGTTTGCTAACAATCCTCACTTTCGGTTACCCGATTCATCTGTTCAACAATATGGCTGCGATTCCGGTTGCTCCGCAGATCAAGGAATTCAACCTATGGCTCTCCTTCGTCCCCGATCCTCGTTCCGTCTGGCGTGCTTCAACGTCCGGACACTCATGCAGATTGGACAGCAAGCCGGTCTAGCGCGCACCCTAGATTCCCTAGACATTGATGTCTGCTGCCTTTCAGAAACCCGATTGCAAGATTCCAGCACTGTGCTTACATTGACATCGCCCACTGACCACGAAGCCAGATATCACCTGCGTCTTTCTGGAGATCCAGAAGCAAGCTCAGCGGGTTTGGCTGGTGTAGGTATAGCACTGAGTGGCACTGCCGAGGCGGCACTACTGGACTGGTTCCCTATTAACAGCCGACTATGTGCAGTTCGGCTTCGGGGTTCGTGTAGAATCAACAGGCACCGCGAAGAGAGACACAACTTGTTTGTGATCTCTGTGTACGCTCCAACTGACTGCAGTGGCGACTCGGT